AGATAGATAGATAGATAGATAGATAGATAGATAGATAGATAGATAGATAGATAGATAGATAGATAGATAGAGCTGATGATCATGTTTCTGATCATTCTGAATGTGTGGAGGAAGGTGGTCTACCTGGAGCCCATGACAGGGAGTAGACCACGCCTTCATTCCCGGGGGACGTGTAAACAGCTGTTAGCGTGTTTGTGTCCCAAATTTTAATGGTTCCATCAAAACTAGCTGTAGCCAGCAGGTTCGGATCATCTGGTTTGAACTTACAGTCAAAAATAGTTTCTACATGACCCTGAAACAACAAAACACAGTAACACACCAAGAACATGTATTGACATGCTAACAACATGTAGTAACATGCTCAGAACATGTAGCAACATGCTAACAACATATAGTAACATGCTAACAACATGTAGTAACATGCTCAGAACATGTAGCAACATGCTAACAACATATAGTAACATGCTAACAACATGTAGTAACATGCTCAGAACATGTAGCAACATGCTAACAACATATAGTAACATGCTAACAACATGTAGTAACATGCTCAGAACATGTAGCAACATGCTAACAACATATAGTAACATGCTCAGAACATGTAGCAACATGCTAACAACATATAGTAACATGCTAACAACATGTAGTAACATGCTCAGAACATGTACCAACATGCTCAGAACATGTACCAACATGCACAGAACATGTACCAACATGCTAAAAACACAGTCACACACTAATAACAGAGTCACATGCCAAGAACATGGAGTCAAGCTTGTGTTTTTTGAGGTCAGAGTACCAGTTCCCGGAGGAAGTCCCACTTCTTGGCCCCCATGTCATACAGTCCCACGCCGCCGTCCATGAAGCAGCAGACGRCGTGGCCCGGTGGCAGAGAGAAGGACCGGTTCTGGGACAGGGTGGGAGGAGGAACCGCCTCGCTGGTGGAGCTGGTGTGCAGACTCTTACTGGGGGAACAGGAGGTCTGAGCTGCAGGAGGACCAGAACCAGAACCAGTTTTTATAAGGATGGGGGGACAACATGGCATCTCAGCAGCTGCAGCAGGTTTGATGGTCATCGTTACCTTTCTTGTTGAGAGGAGCGTTGAGGACGTGCAGAGCGTGGAACCCGGTCTTCTTCAGCTTGAAGCTGTCCAGTGGAGTGGGGCGGGACACGTTCCAAACTCTCAACACACCAACCTGCGAGTCTGACAGACAGGAACTTGTYACTCTGACAGGAAGTGAAGGTTTGATCAGTTTTTTTCTAATGGATCTGAAGTTCTGATGGTTCTAATGGTTCTGGTGGTTCTGACGGGTCCACTCATCGACCCATCTTCACCTCCGGTGATGAACATTCCCGGTGCCGAGTGGACCCAGGCCAAACACTGAACGGACGCAGCAGCTGAGGGGAAGCAGAAGGACGTGATGCACGCCAACGCCTCGCTGTCTACCAGCCGGACACCGTTATGGAGGTTAGAGACTGTGGAACACAGAGTTGCTGGTTCAAATCCTGAGCCTCTACAGATGTAAGGTCTGACATGTTTACATCTTGAGTCTGACCCAGTAAATAATCTGTAGATAAAGGATCCCACTCCAGAGCGCTGACGGGGTCCTCCTCGTCTGTTCCTTCTAAAGACTCGGGACGCAGAACGTGTTTCTGACTTTTACTTCCTGGACAGAAGAACAGAATAAACAATAATAAACAATAAACAATAATAAACAATAAGTGTTAATGAAGCATGTACCGAGCTGGAAGACGGACAGACTGCCGTCTGTGTGTCCAAACACCAGCTTGCCCTTCTTGCTGGGGTGCCACCTGAAGAGACAGATGTCCGACAGGAAGGAGTGGGCCTCTTTGTGCACCGTCACCCCCGGCTCCGGACCGCCGTACGCCCAGATGTAGAGYGGGCCGCGCTGGGACACGAAGGCCACGCCGTCCGCAGAGTTCCAACACCAGCTGACGGAGACGGGGACACCTGCGGAGGACAGGACACAGGGTGAAGCTTCAGAGATGAAGAGGAGAGCAGTTCTTCATCGTCTCACCTTTAGTGTTGTCCAATCGGGCGACGGCTTTCTTCTCCGCCACGTTCCAGATGATCAGCAGGTTATCAGCTGAAGCTGAGATAAACWGGTCCGGGTGGTCCGGACACCAGCTGATGGCCGTGATGGTCTTCTTGTGTTCGGACATGATGGAACTCAGCTTGAACTCATTATACTGCTGGTCCAGCTGCAAGAGGAGGGACAACACCTGAGCTCAGGTGAGGACCATCAGAGGAGCTACAGGTGGTCCTCACAGTCCACTGCTGTTCCTGTCCACCAGAGTCCCTGTCCATCACTGTCCCTGTCCACTACATGACAGGTGGGTGCACAGGTGAGACTGTGCACCTGTCTAGGTGGTCTCACCTGGTAGATGTAGACAGGTGGGTGGTCTCACCTGGTAGATGTAGATAGCCAGTGTAGCGCAGTAGGCGAAGCGGTCTCCACTCGCTGCACACACGTCTTTGTTCCAGGGCTGACAGCCGGCTGCCAGGAGCCCCACCTGCTTCACCTTGGCCATCCTCACCTGTKGAGACACCTGTCCACATTTCAGCCTCCAAGCTGAAGTGTCTCTGTCTTTTCATGTTGGACTCTGTCCAGCAGCAGATTACCTGAGTTAATCTGAACTGTGAGCTGGTCTCTCTGCTCAGATGGATCTGTTCACAGCTAGCTCCATGCTAACAGTTAAAAGTTAGCATGTTACCTGTCCTGTCAGGTTAGTCACATGCTAACAGTTAAAAGTTAGCATGTTGCCTGTCCTGTCAGGTTAATCACATGCTAACAGCTAAAAGTTAGCATGTTGCCTGTCCTGTCAGGTTAATCACATGCTAACAGCTAAAAGTTAGCATGTTGCCTGTCCTGTCAGGTTA